CTCAGGAAATCACTTTGCAATGTAGCTGTTTGCTTTTTAGTGAGAGACACCATGGAAAGGAAACCAGCAGAAACAGTTTCTGGAGTAGAACTGAAGGAGAGATTTGGTTGAACCTCAGTGCCTGCAACTGTGAGACGTCTCTGCAGGCAGCAAACACAGCTGCCCATTGTGTAGGCAGCATTCCCCAGGTTCCTCTGACTGGGGCTGAAAACACCTGTGTCTACCAACTACAGCAAAAGCTGAGGTACTTGCAGCTCCACACATGACTGTTCTTATCTCTCCATAAGTAACACCAGAGTACACTCTTCAAGAAAATCATACATTGCCTTACATGCTCTAGAAAGGCCAAAACTAGAGATCTACATCATTTCATACAGTTTGCCTTCCTAACTGATCAATCACTTCATTCACCCATTTACGATGTCATTGCAGTGATTCTGCGTTCATAACTTCAGGACATCTTATGTTCTCCTGTATAAACCTTTCTTTGAACACTGTGTATGGCAAATGGAACAGCTCCAAGAATTCAGTCTTTAAGGAAAAAAAAAAAAAAAGAATCACAAACCAATTTAGGCCAGGATTTGCACAAGAGCACATCCCTGGGCTGCAGCCACAGGTCTGTCAGCAGGGTCTGCCTGTGGACCCCGACATGCCAGGCCATGGGTGGTACGTGATCTGCCCCCACTAACTGGCTTTGGAGCTCCTTCAGCCTCACAGCTGCCTGCTTCCTGCCATTCCAGGTGTCCTGCAGACTCCTGGGGGATTTCCCCCAGCAGAATAACCAAACACAGGGAAGAATATGGAGTCTCTAATTCGTTGATTTGCCTCACAGGAGCATAAGCACAGGCACAGACACACACTGTGCAGGGACATTGCACATTGAAGCACTGACTTCTACCACAAGCTGAGAGTGCTCCTGAGCTGGGCTGGCAAAAGTCTTTGTCCTGCTCTGATCCAGGTGCAGATGTGGGAAGTGGAGCACTCCAGAGGACAGAGCAGCATTACATGTTCCCAGGTTTTCATCATCATCATGGGCTTTGACCATTCACATTTCAAAATCAGACTTGGCTCGTTGCAGACTTTTGAGGACTTCACTTTATATGCTGCAGCTTTTAAAGCCCCAGCAGGAACCAAGACCAGACTAAGCTCAACACCAAGACCAAAACTCCATCCTTACACTGTTTTCTGTTACTTTAGTCCTAGTCATGCCATTTAAGTTAATTTAGCAATTCCTGTCCTTCATTAACTGAATGAGAGGCTCTAAGCTAAAAATTCAGAAGGCTTTTCCATGTTTCAAAACAGTAAATCTAATTAAATTCAAATTTTATACAACCTTACAACATATTTTAGGTATGCAGAGTAAAAAGGTTTAAGAGGCAGCCAAATTACTTACAAGATTTTTTTCACCAAATAATTGTTACATTAAGACAGTTTACACACACTACTACAAGATGCTTCAAATAATCCATTATATGTAGCTCGTGAGGCTCATCCTCAGGGAAAAAAACCTCACATTTTAGAAAATACTGATGTGACACAGTTTCTCTTCCTTGTTTTTGTTGAGCAGATACATCCCACCCTAAAAAGGCTGTGATTGAGCAGAGTTCCAAGTAAGGTAGGGACATGTTACACCTCTGGGAGGGATGGGCACTCGCTGCAGTGAAGTGCTATAAAAAGCTGATGCTCGGTGACAGTCTCTGCACCTCAGCCTTTAAAAATAACAGCAAACCACAGCAGCAGTGACACCTGAGGAGAAACCCAGGCAGGCTCTGGCACCCCGAGTTGCAGGTAGAGCCCAGGGGCTGTGCTGAGGCTCCCGAGTAACCCAAGAGCCCCGTGTTTGTGGCACAGGGTGTGCCGTGCACAGGGCAGGGTCACAGAGCCCTGGGCACACCCCAGCTCAGCCACCCCTTCCCTTCCCTCCCCTCACTCAGCCAAAGCCCAGCCTCCCCTCCACCGGGGCTTGGCATCAAACCACCCCTAAAGTTACTCACTATGACAAGGGCCACGACTCCTGGCCTGTTCTAACCTTTGTGTTCTCAGCTCATCACAAGCTCGGCCTCTGACCCTGAGCCTCTGCCACACACTGGGCACTCGGCTGGGGCACAGCTCTGCCATGCCCCACGAACACTCCCGTCCTCCCTGCCCTGCAGGACGAGATCTCACTTCATCAGGCTCGTGATCATCTCCAGGTGATGGTTCCCTGCCATCAGGTGCACCTGGGCCACTTGAACTTGTGACTCCTCTCACTGGAACACCCTGAAAATAATGTGCTGCCTACCCCTGAGGCTGGTTAGGTTTGAGGTTTATGTGAAGACAGAGCAGACATTTAAGTGAAAAATACAGAGAATGTCAGTCAGTCACAGTGACCATACAGAAAAGAGAGGTAAAAGAAATGCCTCTGAGTTCTCTTTGATTCTCAACCCAACACTGTTAAATATATAATACACCTCTGCACATACAGCTTCCCTGAGCTACATATAAATGTATGTAGGAACATGCACGTATTAGAAAAAAGGAGCAAACAAAAGTAAATGGAGTTCAGACAGCACCGAGCAGAGGTGAGGGCAGCAGTGGGTCCGACGTGGCCAGGCTTCACCTCCCTGCCGAGGGACAGCGCGGGCGGTGTGGGGACGCCGGGGCTGAGGAGGGAGCACCGTCCATCAGGTCCATCACGATCCATCGCGTCCAGCAAACCTTCCCTCTCACCTCAGCACACCTACGAGCCACACGACGTGTCGGTGCCGGGCGGCGGCTCCCCCGCGGTCCCTCCCGTCCCATCCCCTCCGTTGTGCTTCCCGGGAGCCCCCCGTGACCCCTCCCCGATCCCGGGAGGGAGCATCAGCTCCCGGGGTGTCCCCGCCGGGAGGAACGGGACGAACGGGCCCGGACCCCGCTCCCTCTCGCGGCCGCTTCCCGGGGCAGCTCCCGCTTCCCTCCTTCCCTCCCTCCCTCCCTCCCAGAATTCAGGGACCGACCCCCTCCCGCGCCTCACCGCGGACCCCCCTCACTGCGCCCGGGCCCACACGGCAGCTCGTGTGGACAGACGGACACACAGACAGACACGCAGACGCTCGTCCTGCTTCGCAAAATTTTATTAGCAAATCGCAGTAACAAATATCTCTGGTTATTTTTGACAGTCTGTACTATTTCCCACCACGCACACAAAAAAATAATCAGTATTTCTCTTCATAAAAATACATGTAGATTAAAAAAAAAATCAGCACTAAAGTAAGAATAAAAATAGTACTATTTTAATAAAAATACTTAGAGGTTGTTTGTTCTCCCCCTCCTCCCCCAGACTATCACTTCATTTTTCTCCAGGTTCCCTACTGCTCAAAAATAGTACACAGAAAATAGATTTTTCTCCCCCACCAAAGCAAATTCTGTAACATAAATTGTTTTAATGAAGTTTCTGCATTTCCCCTCCCTCCCATGCCTTTCTTTTTCTTTAGTCCCTTAATAGGACTGTATTGTCCTATTAATATAGGAAAATATATTAATAGGACATTAATATATTTAGCTTGTTCCTCAAACACCAGCAATGGTAAAGAATGACACCAACACAGGCACAGAGGAGGTGCTGGGGGCCTGTCCTCACCTCACCTGGGCACAGAGATGATGGAGACTGAACATCCTGAGCTTCCTCTCCTGGCTTTGTTAAAACACCTCCTTACATCTTTTATTAATGTACAAATGAGCTTATGGCTTCACACGGCCTTGCACTGCCCTGTCTGGCCTTCCCCTACTCCCCATCTGGCTCAGTAGTTGCCAGGATCTCACATGAGAACAATGACCTCACCTCCATGAGAGCACAGCCCTGACCCAAACCCAACAGCTATTTTAACCAGGGCTTCATTTGCAGAAGTGCAATTTACCTGCACATCCCACAACCTCTAATTTGGGAACGGAAGGTGCTTCTGAAACTCCAGAAATTCAGAAAACAACACTGGCTTGGAGTTTACTTAATTTTCCACATCCCAGGGAAAGCAGGAGGCAAAATTTGCTGGACAGGTTTTATATTTGTAGTGTTCTCTTTGTGAAAGGTGCCCTCCAGACACCGTGTTGTGGTTTAACCCAACCAGCAACGAGGCTCCAACACAGCCACTCAGTCACTGCCCCCGTCCTGGAGGGGAGGAGGACTGGGAATTAAACCTCGTGGGTTACTTTGAGATAAGAACGGTTTTATCATTGAGCTAAAGCAAAATATAATAATAATAACAATAATTAACAATAATGAAAAGGAAAAGAGAGAGCAGTAACACCCAAGGAAGACAAGAGATGCCAGTACAACTGCTCACCACCCACTGCCCAACGCCCAGCCCAGCCTGAGCAGTGACTGTGTCCCAGCCAGCTCTCCCAGCTCATACATGGTGCACCATTCCATGGTCTGGAATGTCCTTTTGGAATGTGACCATTGAGGTCAGCTGTCCTGGCCATGCTTACTCCCAGGTTCTTGTGCAGCTCCTCACTGGCAGAGCCTGGGAAATGGCAAAGTCCTTCACTTGGGGAAACACTACAGAACAACCCCTAAAACATCAGTGTGATCAACATACCCTCCTGCTGAACCCAAAACACAGACCAGCTACTAACAATAAAATCAACTCTATCCCAGCTGAAACCAGGACACACTGAAACAACAGGTTTTCCTGTTATTGCTCCCTCTTAACACAGCACTTTTTGAGGACTCTGCCTCAAGAATTACACAGAAAGCTCATAAATACATCTTTTAAATGTGAAGAGAAGCCCATGCACTGCCCCTTATCCCTTGAGCAGGCACATGTCACAAGCTAAGTGGCAGCACAAGACATGAAATAAAAGGAAATTAAATAAATAGTAGCAAAATGCAGTGCCATACTGGCAGAAACATCCACTCTCCTGCTTCCACAATTCCTGCACCCACATTCTCTTTCCCTTCCTTCAACCTTCCCAATCCAGGATCACCTTCACTCCCTACGTGTCCCTCTCACACTCCTTCCTCCCCACTGCTTTTTTCCTCCCACCACCTCCTTCATTTTATGTTTCTTCCATCAAATCCTCCTTTCTGCCTCTCTTCTCCAATGCTTCTCCTACATTCCCTTCCTTTCACAGAAATACTTTCTTATCAACTGCATTTTAGTCACTACCTAAGCAGGGATACAAAGTTATGAATAAAAGTAGCATGTTTTTATTTCTTTCTTAGAAACTGGAAACCACCTGACACTAGTTTTCAACACCAGTTCACACCTTCTGCTCTAAAACCTCAGCCTAGAAGTGACCAACATAAAGCCAAACAAAACCAGTTTCCTTGTCCATCCATAGTTGTTTCTAATAGGCTTTCTGATTTTTAATTTATTAAATGGCAAAATAAATATGAATTTCTAACAACAAATACATTCAATGAAAAAAATAACCTATTCTAGACACATTTTTTTGGTACCAATTGAACAATACTGGCTTAGAAACTAGTAATAGTTAAAATGATGCAACTTCCCAGTGCAAAGATGTTACATCGGTATCAAAGTGCTCACTTCCTCAATTTTGGATACAGCCCCCTGAATAAAAAGCAGATGTTTGCTGTCTGGGTTACATGTAAATAGCACCTGCACAAATAGGTGTTAACCCATCTCCAATTTGCTGACAATAAATAACATTGACAACAATAACAAAGTCCAACAGAGACTATTTCTTCAAATACCTGGGGTTCTTAAAGGCCCTGTTTTGGTGAATATCCTGCCATCATCCTGTAAAAACACTGGATTTGGGTGTATGTAAAACACTACAGCATTTTTTCTCTTCTTCATCCAAAAACTGCCTTGGCCTGTGTCATCCTCTCAGTGGCCCCAACTAGTTGTACTCACAACTGGTTGTGTTAGTCCTCAGCCAGAGCACAGTCCTTGTGGCAGTGCAGAACTGTTGCCAAAATCAAAGATGTGCAGTGATATCAGGATTTTCTCCTCAGTGACAGCAGTGACAGAGCCCTGCACACAGCTAACAAACCCTGGCAGAGATCTGCCATCACATATCCATGCTGTTAACAAACACCAAAACTGCATTACAAAATGTCCTGACAACTCACTAACAATTTCCCTGACTGAAACAGTAATAATGCACAAAGTCCTCACCGCTGTGCAGGACGGGAATTATTCTGCAGGAAAGGAACATCAGTAGAAACCCAACACCCTGAGTGCAGCCGACATCACAAACAGATTGAAGTATCACTGAAACACTCAAAGCACTCCAACTGGTGCTTGTGCTGTGGCATTTCCCTGGGAATCTCGCTTCCCAGTTTTCCAAGATGCTCAGTAGACATTTAATACCATCGCCCAGCTGTTGGTGCTGTTTGAGAAGCAAGAAGCATCACACCAATGACTCAGGGCTGCTTGCTTCAGCAGGGATGGAAGTCTCCTGTGTCTCCTGCCCATGGAATTCTCTTCACATTAGGATATGCTGCTTCTCCTCTGAGGAGGAACTTCTCTTTGGGAAAGATCCTCACTGTCACTCTCACAGTTCCTCTGAAACAGAAAGGCCACAATGTCTCAGACATGTAAATGAGATACCACGCTGCTCCACACGGTGCTCTGATATCATCAGTGCATCATCTGTGGAGGAAAGCAGAGCCAACAGGACCCTCACAGCTGCATTCCAGAAGGTCACAGGCACTTCTGGGGTCCCCTACCCTCCATCACACACAGCTGGGCACAAGAGCAGCAGCAAGTTCCCTGCAGGACTGCTCGTATCTCAGCCAGCAGGGTCACTGCCATGGGATCCGAACATCAGCTGCTGCTCCTTTACACAGTAAATGTGGGCAGCACCTCAAAGGTTTATGGAGTCACCAGCTCTCCCTGCACAACGTTCCTGTCACAGTAACACCATGTACAGCCCATTAAAGACACACAGAGGATGCCACGGTCCCATCTGGGTTCCCACTCCAAACCGCTGCCGTCCTGTTGGGCTGTGCATCCAGGTAAGGACAGCAAAAACCACTGCACAGGAAAGCTGGTTCTTCTCCTCTCCCCCTTTAGGAAATGCACCTACCAAACTCTCCTCCTGCATCAGGACCCTTTTCACCAGGGAACGGGACAAGTGGTTGCACAGCGAGACGATGCGGTAGGAAAGCTGTGGAGAGAGGGAAGAGGGGCAGTTTGACCACACATGTCCACACAGACACATCCAAACACCTCATTATCTGCTGCCTGCTACAATTTTACACTCAAGCCCTGTCCTGCCCTCTGATCCCACCGGGTTTGGGAAGCCCCACGTGAGGAGGGTTAAAGGCTCCCCGCCGTACCTTCCACCGCCTCCTGGCATATTGCCTTTTGAAGTTTTCCATGTTAACAACAGATGATTTCCGAACCAAAGCCTGTTGCTTGTCCATGGGCTGGAAGATAAAAGAGCAATTTAATTGTCTGGCTCCCTTTGGTGCATAAAATATGTACAGTTCCCCACGTGCACTGGAGCTGGCTGAAGAGTGCTGGCTGGGGAGGCTGTGGGTTCATACAGGGAAAAGCAGAAGAAAATTAATTCAATCCAGTCCACCTTGTGCCTGGACAGGACTCCTCTGATCTCAGAAAAAAATCCTAAAACTAGAGGGTGCTAAGGATTGCTTTCACTTAGTAAAGTTGCTAAGCTGATTCTCAGTGCACACCTGCCCCACCTGCATTTTCTCTGGATGACAACACTGTAGTAACATGGGAAAAAGTTGGCTGTCATTTGGTATTGGTGGCAGGGATACATGCTGTCTGAAAACACTGGCTTTGTCCTTTAACCACACCCAGAGTATGAGAGCACAAGACATTGATACCCTGGCAGTAAATATGTAAGGAAAGAATTGCAATACCTGACTATGGCAAACAGGAAGAAAAAAGAATATCTATCAGAATTCAGATGTGCCCAGCATTTGGGGATTTCAGTCTGGTGTTAAGGAACAGATGTTCCACAAAGCTTGACACACAGTCCTTCTGAAAATTAAGCACATTCCACTTCAAAAGCACATCAAAATTTGCATAAACCAGAGAACTGTATCTAACAGATTGAGGAGAGGAAGGGTTCAAACCCAGATCTGGCAAAAGTGAAAAGGGAAAGACCAGGTATGAACCCTTCTCAGCTCATGGAGTGACAACCATTCCAGTTGTTCTGATCTGCATATGCAGGAGGGGATAACAGAAATATTTGTACTGGACTGGAATGCAGCCAAGCCATGCACCTGGAGCAGCAAGAGGACCAAAGGAGAATGGAAGACACATCAGTGACAATTTAAACATCTTTTTCAGCAACATAATTGAAAATGTTTGTGACTACAAATGCCCTTTTCTCATCAGCTGCCGCAGGTTTAGCAGCTGTGCAGTATCTCAGCAGCAGTTCAAGGAGCCAACCATCAGCTGGCCCCTTCTCATTCAGATGTGATACACCATCTGACACAACAGAAGAGAGACAGTGAAGCACTAAATACCATTTCCTCGTGCGCTGCAAGTGGCTAGCACGGTGCAGCAGGCTGGCAGGAATCAATGTGAAGTGGAAAAAATGTCACTGGCTAAATGTCAGCTGTACAATCACCATGAAAAATGTCCCAGTGCCCTTTCCACAGCAGAACCGTGGCTGACTGAACAGCTCACTCTACCCCAGCCTGTGCATAATGCCCCTCCATTTATGTACCCTGCAAACCAGGGACCTTGTCACTGTGTCACATCAGAACATCTTCTAAAAGCACTGTGTCAACCAGCCTCCAGGGCAAGTCACAACAACATTACCCTCACCCAAAGTGGCCTCATTTGATGGTCCTTCTCATCGTGCATTTGTTCATACAGAAAATCTGTGTGAACAAACATGAGATCATGGCTGAGGGAGGGCAGACTCTTGCTCTTAAGAGGCTTTTCTGCAAATACGAACTCTCACTAGGCTTCAAGTTACATTTTAAGAATTAAAACTCTCCCCCTTGTAAAAAAATCCTGTGTTCTGGTTTCCCTGGATAGTGTCCAGTGGGTCTTCCAACCAAAGGAACCTGCAGAAGTGACGACTGAAGCATCGGGAGACAATAAAAAATGGACACACACAAAACTCTCAGTGCTATTTGTCACGACAGAGCCCAGTTCTCCCCAGCCACCAACACCAGCTTGCCAGGGTCATCTCCTGGCTACCCATAGGACTTGGAAGCTTTTGAGAATTTTACATCTCGTGCCAAGAACGAGGCCACAGGGAGCACATCCAGTTTCCATCCTCCTCCAAGTACAGTGACGGGAGCAACAATCCCCCAGCTGGACAACTGCTTTCAGAACCCTGAATTCCCACCAGCCTCTGCACATCTTTGAGACAAAAAGATAAAAGCATACTCTCCTCCAATTTCTGCAGAGTACAGTGCCCCCCCTGCTGCCATGTCCTCACAAAGTAGGAAACATTCTTCTTAATCATGTTAGGAACAACAACAATTCCATTTATTTAGGGCATTAACTCCTCTGCAAAAGGAGAAGGGAGGAGGGGCAGTGAAAGACATACTTTATATATATAAGATCCACTCTAGATGGACATCAGCTACTGTCTCACTGATTCTTGCAGCTGCACAAAGTCACCTTGCAGCAAATGCCCACAGCACACGGTAGCCTGACATCTTCAGTCTCTAACTAACCTGCAGGGAACAACGGCACCCTGCATAAATAACTCAAAAATGAGATGGGAACACCTGTGCAGGTTGATACAGTATGACCACATGGCTTCTTTGAACACAAGACAGCAGGGCAGGATTCAAGTTTGGGTCAACTTTTCTTTTACTTTCTAAAACTTAAGGAAAAAAAAATCTTTACAGCAAGAGCACTAGTCTCAAATCCCACACCACAGATTAAGTTAGTTGTAGTTTGTCATCTTCTTCACTGTAGAAAACAAACTAGAGGACTATGATATCACTTCTCAGTCACATATTAACATTTGCACTGTAAAATTGCAGTTATTTGACCATTACAAGTTCCCAGTGGTGTCTTTGGAATAGGATTTCTTTGGTATAGGACAGAAAACTAAATCCTTTAGTTTAAAATTCAGGTAACACCTCTGATGGTAAAAGACTTCACCCTGCACAACTGGCTTTAAAACAATCCTTTTCTTCATTGGCAGCAATTTCACAGAGAATTTCCACAGTAAATGTTAAATTACTACACCGTTTACTTTGTTTTACAGGACAGAGTTAACCTTTGCAAATATTTCTCTCATGTGGTCTGTAGAACTCCCTGCACTGTTTCCTTCAGCCAACCAAAGGTACTATAATGAGATTTGCATTAGTTTCCAGGCACCCAGTTTCTAGTAAGTACAGGCTGACTTATTCTTTATTCCAAGTTGATAACTTAGTACCTTCAGGGACTGTAATACACAATGCACTATGATATAGGCAATACAAAAGGCTGTAGGTTTAGATATGTCCATACCACTGTGAGAACCTTGTTCCTGCAAGTTCAGACACTCTAAAAAAAAAACACACAGAAAAAAACCCTTCAACACTACAAAGCACTGGGAGATTATGGCTTTGGTCAGCACCTTGTGCAATACCTCAGAACTTCTACTTTAATTCTAGGTGATGTTTTTGGGGAGAATCTGTACATTGGGACCTTTTTAAACTGATGTACTGGAAAGAGGCAGCAAACCCTGCCCCTAGCCTGATCTCAGCATCACTGATGGGATTCTGCTACACCAAGATTCAACCCTGCAAGGAATTCCTCACAGCGAGATCTGTTCAGCAGCTCCATCAGCGATTCGTTAACATCTTTGCTGAAAACAGAGTCGAAGTTTCTGTTCGCACAGACTTCATTTTCCAGTTGAAAACTGCTCATTAAATCCTGTATCCACTTGAGTTCCTCAGAAAGTTCCTGCCTGAGGGATTCATACTGGCCCTGCAGACCAGTGTATTTCCCAGCTACGCCGGCCAGACTGGTGTCCACGGCCTTGATGTCCTCCTGCAAATGCCTCCTCAGGGACTCGATCTTCCGGCACTCGTACTTCAGCTGGGACAGCTTGTGCCGCACGCTCTCGTTCTCCTCTTTGTACCAGGCCTCCTTCTCATTATAGATGGACAGCAGAGCGTCGACGTCCTCCTGCAGGGAGTCCCGGGACGCGGCCAAGGTGCCGCAGCCGCGCTCCGTGCGGGAAATGTCCTCGACGACGCGGGCGAAGCGCTCGAAGTTGATGTAGGTGTTGTTGGGGGGCATGCTCGAGTGGCACTTGATGGTGTACTCCCTCAGCCGCTTTGTCTTCAGCTGGGTGCTCCCAACCTTCTTGGGCTCCTGCACTTTGGTTTCTTCTTTCAGCTGGCGAGTCACCAGACAGAGGAACCAGTGTTACTGAGCGTTCACAAGACAGGGCAGGAACTCAAAATCTGCACACAGAGGATGCAGCCTGGACTTCCACAATGTTGGGAGATCCTTTGCTCACACAGGCTTGCCTTCATGCATATGAGTAAAAGAAAAAAGACACCAAACACACGAGCCCAAAAACAAATGTGACAAGTGATGTGCATTCATTCCAGTGTGATAAGAGCAAATAATGCAGCTGCAACTTATTTTCATGTTAATTTTTAGCAGTTAATAGTCTCAAGCTGTGGATACTTGTGAGAGGAAAAACAACAACCCTGAAAAACTCCAATTAACGTTTTGTGCAACGCAAAGCAAAAACTGAACTTCAAAAATCCTCATTAGTCATGCTGAGATTAGCTAAATGTATTTTCAATAAGAGACTTATCCACACAAGCAGGCAATGTTTATGATGAAAAATACGTATGGACACACAAAATGTAAGCAAATCAGCACACGTGGTACACAGCAGTTATCTCTTGAGAGAAATCCATTTTCCACACTGACTAGCAGTCAACTCTCAGTTCAAGAAAGCACTGAAACCAACACACGTGTCCATGCAAACAGAGAAGAAGGATGGAAAAATGCAAAGCCCAGTCCAATTTGGGAGGCTGTAATGTGCAATAAAGATCAGAGCTTGGTCACCCTCTTTTTGAAAGTTATGCTGATAAAAGAAGTCATTTGCAGAAATCCAGGGATTTAGTCAGACCCAGCCAATTTGTTCCCAGTAGATCTCTGAAACACCCAGGATCACTAAGCACTTAGGGGGCAGTTTTCCATGTAACACACCACTAAGAGTGAGAATATGATCCCTGCTTTGCTCACAGCAAAAACTAGGATCTGTTTGTTTATGCAGCCTTACCGTTATCCAGGGATGAGACAGAGCTTCCTGAATCGTAAGCCTCTTCCTAAAAAACATCAACACAAAAACCCCACAGACTTGAATGAGAAATTCCTGGTACACGAGTCCATTGACCCACCCTTCTCCCAGGCTTCCTATGAATTTATCAGGATAATGCCAGGACCAACTCTCAAATGTCAGGGTTGTTACTCCCTGAGCCTGCTGCTTCTGTGCAGTTTAGTTACTGTTCTGAACTTCAGTGGGTAACTGGCCTCACTCCACACGATTTTAATTCTTACTTCATCAAAACCTACCTGTATTTTTGTGCACCCTTCCATACAAAGTAACACAATATCTGTTCTGTTCATCTGACATGCTCAGAATAAGTTCTTGCTGTACACCTTTGATACAAGTGTGTCTTTGATACAGCAGTAATTGTATCAAAGCTGTCCTTTGGAACAGGAGATTACAGCACTGCAAGAGCTGCTGTTTCCTGAAAGCAACATTTCTGAGAGCAATACTTAAACCTAATCAAACCTGATCAATTCTAACTTCCTCCTGCATTGTGGCAGTTTGGTGAACAGCACATTAAGGGCACTGAGAATCAAAGAGAGAAACACAGTGTTGCACAGGGATGTGGGACAAGTATCATCACTGACTTCTCCTTTCCTAAAAAGAGGCTGCAGGACCTGTGCAAACCTCTCAAACCCCAGCTAGCTCTCCCCACTCTGAGGCCTGATGATGTGCAGAAATCTTGACCGAACAGCCCTCTCATACCTATTTCCTCCCCCACTGAAGCCACTAGAAAGAACCACAATGGTCTGACTTCCCTCTGGTACAAAGTTACAGGGAAGGAGATGCTACTCCTGCATGAGCTTTATTAAAAGCAGGAAGTCTGTGGTTCCTCTGAACCGGGAATAAAGATCTGCAGAGCTGTCACACAAACTCTGGGTGACTGCAGAGAGACTTAGAGCAATTCCATATCAGCACATGTAAAGATTTTTCTGGCATGGCACCACTGGGGGCATATTCTGGGATGGTATCACCTCCTTGTAAGTAGTTCATAATAGACTGAAACAGTGGAGTGGGAGTTACCCTGAACTCGAGGTTCTGCACACCATTTTCAGCCCTTCAGCCACACCCTGTTGTACCAGCTTGGCTCAGGTGAGAATTCAGTCCTGAACATGAAATTTAACTGAGGAGATTTGGTTCCTTAGAGCTTCTGGGGCAGTGATTAACTAGGGGCAGCATTCCCTGCCTTGCTCTGGAATGGCAATGCAACTGCAAGGAAAGCTTTGCACACACCTCATCAGGCTACGTTTCACCAGGTTTATCTTGAGAGACAAACGGATCTTTCTGGATTTTTTCCTTACCGTGTATCTTTCACCAGAAGTTTCTGAATAAAATCTTTGGCCAGGTCACTGGTATTGCTGAAAAACTCTTCATCAAAATCGTAATTCACAGCTGTGATGTTGGCAAGCGTTTCTTGTTTAGTTTCTCCAAGGAAGGGTGATGCACCACTAAGCCTGGATAAGCCACAAGGAAGAATCAGTTGGAAAAATAAACAGCGCAAGACCCCCGGTGAAGTGGCAGTGACTGTGTAATATACTCTTAGGACATTTGTGGCTCTGGTGTGGGAAACAACAGGGCCAGCTTTGGCCCACCACATCTATGGTGATGAGCCAGACTCACCCTGGAAGTCTCTAGTGCAGCACTAATGGGTGCACACAGACAGGAATGCACATTCCCCTCTCCTAAGTGCCTCATTTAAGTCATTGCTAACAAAACTACAAGAGGCTTCAGTTGAGGACAGTCTCTATCCCTGAGACTGAAGCTTCTACCACCTTCAGATAAAGTAGTGTTTCTGTAGATTTTCTTCAGGTAGGAAAAGCCCTGCCCCTGTTTGTGCTGCCCACAAGTTCCCTGCACACCAGGTTCAGCCAAGAGACCTCTCTCAGCTGGCTCCAAAACACAATGTGTGATCAGAAGCCTTGCCTAGGCCCAGCTCCACTGCAGAGCTATGGCCATGCTGCTCAGTGAAAGGAATCCACAGACAAATGGACTTTGGCTGCAATAAAATCCAGCAGTTTCTGAACAACACAAATGTTCATTCTGTCAGCACCCTGCTCCAGCTGCAAGGATATAATGGAGACACCATCATAATAAAATGCCATTTAGCAGTCCTTACTGGAAAGAAAGCTTTTCTCCTGCTTGGACTATCCATGAGCTGACAGGGTTGATCTTCATCTTTGATGACTCTATTTACCATTGCTCCATGAAAGCTGAGTGTCAGAGCAGTCACTGCAGACTCCTCCTGCCCTGCCTCTCCTCCAGGTTCCTCCCTCCCCAATACACAGAGATGATGACTTGCAAAACTCTGGTTTACAGGAAATGCTATTTATACCAAGGAATTTGATCTCATCCCTTTTTTATCATCTTCTGGGCTATTATTGTGCTTATCTATTATGTCCAGCTTTGACAGCACAGTTTCAGGATGCAGCAGGCTCAAAAGAGGACTGCACTAAACTCTAAATTGAACTTTTGAGTACTAAACCACTTGTTTACATGATCCTGCTCAATAGACCTTTTACTCTGCATTGCCACTACCATGTTGGCTGGGAATTTTGGGGGGCAAGCAGAAAGTTGGATGGCACCACCTGGCCTTTTAGGCCAATCCCCAGCTACCACGTGTGGTTTTCCCCAGAGAATAAAACATTTGACTTCATAAACTGCTTTCTCTCTCTCTACAATTGCACAATGACACCAAAGCATCTGCCCCAGCAAGGCAGCACGGGTGAGGTGCTCCAGCTGTCTCTGATGAAGTGACTTTCCTGCTATTAACCACAGTCACTCTCATTTCTTAACAGGTTTTACATACTCCCTCTTAGGCTTTTGTTCCACTTCTGCTGCCCACAAAGAAGGCTACAAGCAGGCACCTCACCACAGACCATGGGCATTGTTCCAAAACTAAAGCTTGGAAAGCTGGTCTAGAGCCTTGGTTTCTTTGCCCTCTCCCCAAACTGTGCTGTGAAGTAGCTGTAATTCCACCTTCTGGCCTCTTGCTGGAAGCCCAAACCGGCAGTGCTCTCTCTATTGTGATTTTTTTTGCTCTTTGGGACCCAGTTTTGGAGGTCTAAAATCAGAGCATTCCCAAATTCTAATATCTAATGCAAATGACTTTTGTCATATCCTGACTCACAGCCTGTAAACATGTAACAGCAAACAGACCTCAGCACTAAAGCCCAGTGAATCACTGAACTGAGGGCTTGTCTGCATTTTGGTCTCTACACCTGATGATGGCACCCATTTGATTGCTGCCACGTTTGCTACAGCAGGATCATAAACACACCCTGCTTATTCAGAACAATTCAGAACAAAAGGCTTTCAAATTAACAGGCAATAGTAGTTACAGAATCACAGAATTAATCAGGTTGGAAAAGACCTCTGAGATCATCGAGTCCAACCTTTGACCCAACACCACCTTGTCAACTGGACCATGGCACTGATGCCACATCCAGGCTCTTCTTAAACATCTTCAGGGACGGTGACTCCACCTCCTTGGCAGCCCATTCCAATGCACAATCACTCTCCTGGTAAAAAACTTGTTCCTAATGTCCAACCTAAACATCTCCTGGCAGAGCTCAAGGCTGTGCCCTCTTGTCCTACTGCTGGTTCCCTGGGAGCAGAGCCCGACCCCCACCTGGCTCCCCCCTCCTGTCAGGGAGTTGCAGAGAGTGAGGAGGTCTCCCCTGAGCCTCCTCCTCTCCAGGCTGAGCCCCCCCAGCTCCCTCAGCCTCTCCTCACAGCACTTGTGCTCCAGTCCCTTCCCCAGCCTCGTTGCTCTCCTCTGGACCTGCTCCAGCCCCTCAATGTCCTTCCTGAACTGAGGGCCCAGAGCTGGGCACAGCACTCCAGGGGTGGCCTCACCAGTGCTCAGCACAGGGGCAGAACCCCTTCCCTGCTCCTGCTGCCACACTGTTCCTGATCCACGCCAGGATCCATTGGCCTTCTTGGCCACCTGGGCACACCTGGGCTCCTGTTCAGCTTCCTGTCAATCAGAACCCCCAGGTTCAGTCACATAGTTGAAGGCAAGCAAATTCCTAGTCCACAGCTTATGGTGCCCCCTCCCATGATACAAAGCATGTTCCTTATTGATGATCATTTGCAGGGAGACATTTTTCTACCTTAATCCCCACGGCCCTGACAACCAGTCAAGCAGGTGAAACATCTCCTCCCCTGGGTGCAGCACAGAAACTCTCCCTGTAACTCTGCCCCAGCACAGAGCCCTCAATGCCACTGAAGGACCCCCAGAGCAGCTGGCTCTGTGCATCATTCATGGCATGCCAAGCATTCCCACCTGCTTATCCTCAACTCCTAAGTTCTCCTCTCATCATATATGGACACCCATAAATAGAATTTACACAGTTTAATGCCCTGGCAAGTACGGGTGTGTCACTGGAGACCAGAATGCTCATAAAAAACAAGGATCTGGACAACATTTCAAACTCCTTTCCCTGAGCTTGGGCTCAGCCAGCATCCCTCTCTTCTTGTGCACTGCAGGACAGAGGGAATTTGTTGCACTGAATCAGGTTTCTCAGCCCATACCTCTTACAGCTTTCAAGGTCTAAGCCTCTGGTATAGCTGAAGAGTGGATTTAATTCCACTACATTTATTTTCCACACTGAAAAGACAATCCCTCCCCTTCAGGCCTCCAAACTTGTCCTGAGCCCCAAGCTGTGCAGTGCAAATCCACCCAATGCCAGAGTCCCCCCTTTTTAAGCTTGGCAGCAGGTTAGTCCTCTGAGTATCACAGGGAACAGCTGAGCCCAGGGTGAGACATTTCCCAGCATAGAATATCCACCGTGTGCTGCTCCCCAGGAGTCACAGGAGCTTGATTTCAGTGGAAGCAGTTGGTCCAAGGACCACTGCTCACTTCTGCAATTCCCATATCAAACCAGAGGAAAAGCAAGGAGTGCTGTCCCTCGGTCACACCCACTGTCACACAAGCAGTTCCCCAAATTGTTAAGCTCCATCTTAAAACTCTTCCCTGCTTGTCCCCAGATGCCCACACAAACTCATTTCTTTGAGAGCCTGAGCTTGTCAGAATTTCCTCCTTTTATTTATTCATCACCAGTTGACACACTTTTCTTCTAAAGTGTATCTGTGCCTAAAAAGCATTGTGATCTACTTTTCCCCCTGTGCTTATTGACTACAATGCTATCCCCAAACAGCCTTTGCTTTACCAGCTTTAACAAACCCTTTTTTTTGCCCTGTAAGTTGAATTCTCAGTTCCCAGGGTCAACTTTTCTGCTCCTTTTCCAGCTTAAATTGAACACGGGCGACCAGATTTATGCATAATAATCTAGACTTCTGCTGCCTTTACAAGCAAACTGAAACCTCCCTGTTTCCACCCGAAATGACACACCTTGGAAGGGGTGCTGTTACCCTTTCTATGCTCTCCACACGCTGGTAGCTCAGTCATTCCACCAGCAATGGATATGCTTGGCTTTTCCATTCCCTGCCATTTGGAGCTGATGAGGTCCCAAGGGAAGCAGAAGTGCCCAGTGGTGTCAGGGGCCGTTTGCTCTCAGTTTGCTCAGAGTGCCCCTCTACTTTTAGCCCTTATTTTCAGCTTGAAAAGGCTGCAGGGCAACTGTGAGACAAAGCACTGCCCACCCCCTGTGTGCAGGTCTGTCCTCAGGTGACTGCAGGCAGAGCTGTCCTGTACTAGTGCAAGAGAGCTGCAGGAACACTTGTACTGGGGCGAAGCTGTTGTACTCACAGGATGTAGGTGATGACTCCTATGCTCCTAAAAAACAAAGGAGATCAATGGCAAGGGTTATACATGACCTGTGTTCTTCCTAATGCACAGAATATGAAAAAGTGAATTAGCAGCTGCAATACAGGCAGGAGAGCCACTGTGGCCTTAGGTAACTGCTGACATCTCTTTTACAGAACAGTGTTCCAGGGAAAGAATTAATTTTACATGTAAGAGTAAGTAATGTGGGTATCTGGAGTCTCCATGTATTTCTGCTCTAGTGGGTACTACAGCACACATCAGAAAGGCAAAGGATGTTTTATTTGGGGTGACCTCGTTTGCCTGCCTTCTCAGCAGATGAGATTAGTGCACAGGTCTCCTCTGCACAAAGTGCTCTTAGAAATAAAGCTATCAAAAGCAGTCACTGCTTGCACTGTTTTCTTCTGAGTGCTCCTCTGCAGTGGACAGTGGCAAACACTTAACTCTGTAACTGCCAGCACTCAAGCTTTTCATTGAAATTTTGCAGAAATTAAATGCTTATCTTTTAATTTAAAAGGATGCATAAAAATGACAGGACAGAACACGGAGTAATTAGCTGTATTTAAGTTTTTTGTTTTACTTTGTGGCAGCGCAATGGATTCTACTCAGAGCCAAACAGGAAAAAGTAATTGTAGAGCAACCTGGAAAAAAAAGTACTAACATTCTAAAAAACTTACCACATGTCTGCAGCTAATCCAAGTGGTTCGTAGTTTACGATTTCTGGAGCTGTAAGAAACATTTAATTAAACATCAGCAATGAAATAACGTGTTTTTACCAGGCTGGAGTAGCAGGACAAGAATTACCAAGAGGGAGAAAGGGAGGGGAGAGAGAGAAAAGTTAGTTATAGGATGCATTGTTTGTAATTTTATACCCCAAACAGGAGTTTAAGTTCACAGCTGTCCAGAAGAGATTATGTAGGGTAACTTAAAGCTTAGTACAACTCAACAGCAAGGGTAAAGCAGATATTATACACTAATTACAGTGCAAATTACAAAAAATAACAAATTATTTCACCTCCTAAGAACATTGTTGCCCCCAAGAATTGGAGCTTTTGTTTTGTGTTTAACTGGTGCCATTATAGGAAGTTTATAAAGGCCAGTCAAAAAGAGCTCTTGAGCAAGAGTTTGAAATGACCTGCCAGACTACACTGCTATCCATGTCAAACTCTGTTTTATAGGAAGCATTTCCTCATTGGAAAACATCCCCACACAAGATTGCAAGCAGGAGAAAAGAGCAAGGGGTAAATAAGATGAAAAAAGGGATCTGTAGCAGTTGTGTTTAACTGGAACATTAATTGCAATTCTCTCCTCACTCCCCAAACCAACCACAAAGCCTCTAATTGAAACTATGAGAAAGAAGTAGGATTAACCCAAAATCCAAGTGAGACAGATAATAACTGTGATCAGTGAGGAACAAAAAGAGAATCAGGTGGTAAAATGTGAAGGAGTTGAGGGGTTTGTGCTCAACAGGTGAACGGTGTGAGGCATTTTAATCTAGAAAGCAATGACAGAGGTACCCATGTCACTGTGTACTCACACACCACAACACAGGGAGATCTACTTACTCCAGGCAACAAGGGAAGAAATTGTAATTTGTATTTGCAGAGTTTCACAATCTCAATCCTGAATTTACATCTCTAAGCATTTATCTGGCAGCAGTTTACTCTCACAGGAGTAGCACATCCAGTTTATAGAAAGCACCTCTCATCTATCCCAGAAATATAAAGCAAACCTCTAGATTTAAGTCACCTTGATAGAAATGAGATGTCTCAACTTCCTCATGGAACCTGTAATACAAGACAAAGGAACATGTCACTCACCTACAAATTCTGGAGTTCCAAAAATGTTTTTAAATTCAACTCCATCTTCGATTTTGTGAGCCAGGCCAAAGTCAATGAGTTTGATGTGTGGAATAGGGATATTCTTGTCTAGAAGCATAATGTTTTCAGGCTAAAAATAAAAGATAGATCTATGTTATTAAAATATTAACATCTTGGAAAGTAACAGAGTTTTCAAGTGCCTTTTTTTTCCCTTTGCAAACACAACACTGTAGAACAAGAAACACATACCTGTGCCTAACCATTTACAATGGTTTTGATGAAGGGGTTTTATATTTCATAACATCTGCCCAGTTGACTCTATACTGTACTGCAAGCCACTGGGAGAAGCTTTATTAAATGCTTCCTGAAGGATTCTAGTCACATCTGAACCTATTTAGGGAAGGAGAAAATTGTCTTCTCTATGAGACAATTCACAGCTGCAACAAGGCCAGGAAGATCTGGGATTCACCAGCTGAAAATGGGTAGAGTTGGGATCAGAGGTCCTAGACCATATGATAGCAAGCTATTAAAAGAACATGTGGCATTCCTCACAGCATTGCAGGAAAATCTGGAGCTGGAACTGTGAAATTAAAAGTATCATGTTCAACCACAGACTTTCCTCTTTCACCAGATTTAAGGGAAATGTCATAAACTTCTTTCTTGAACCAAGTTTCTCAGCCTTATCTGCTCCCCTCCATGGCCCCAGTTCACAGGTTTCAGAGTAAACTCTGGGTTCAATTTATCTCCCATGAAGAGCTTTAATGCATTAATTTGTCAGAACTTAACCATAAGCTCAAGAGCAAGAGTGAGAGTTTGATTCCCTGCTGGCCTTTCCACAGCAGATCCCAGCATGGAAACTGCTCCTGCTAACACATATTCTCAGTCAGAGCCACACTGGGAAAGAGAACATATGAATAATTTATTATCATAATCTTAGACCAAGAATGTTTTAGCCTCAGGCTAACAAGTCAGTTTTTCTTCCATGGATCTAGGGCACATGTGTTCACCACAGATACAGGATGTAAAGTTCTTAAAGCAGCCAGAACAGACTGAAATGGCAAAAAGTCACAGTCACACCTCTGGGGCTGGTTGATTCCTTGGGTGGTATAAGGTATAAGGCACTGTGGCTCCATTGCAGTTGATGGAGCCCTGTCAAGTGAGGAGATAATGATGAATCATCCTCTGTCTAATCAGATCACTGCTTAAAAATACATGTCTTATTTAACACTACAAAGCTCCAAACCCAGTCCTTTAAAACCCAGGAGAGTTATTGTGTGAATACATTTTAGGTCACTTAATATCCACTACCAGTGAAATGATTCTTTACTTATGCTTTCTGATTTCTGTCTTGCATGTCTTGCAACATCTTCAGTGACCACCTGACCTTACTGGCACTAAATACCAAAACTAGCAACTAGAGATCAGCTAAAGTCTAAAACAGCATCTTTACCTTTAAATCAAAATGAGCAATTTTCTTAGAGTGAAGGTAATTCACACCATCCAAAATCTGCTTGATGAACCTGGTTGCTTCCTCTTCACTCAAAGACTCCTTCTGTGCCAGGAAGTCAAAAAGTTCTCCTCCAGAAACCCTGCAAAACACACCAGAAAACAACCTGTTATCTACTGCATTGTAACACATAAAATAAATGTAAGCACAGAAAACTAAAGTAACAAAGAACTCCAAGGCAGTTAGAAAAAGGCCACTCTTGTAGACAACCACGGGGTTTGTGTTCTGGTCCCAGGTGGGCCAAAACTTCCTTTTGGCTTCAGCTCTCTCCCCTGGGAATTAAGGACCAGCTTTTCCATTGATGCTGTAAGGTTTGATTCATCAAGGATTATACAGGACCCAAAAAAGTTACATTATTTGATGAATCCACAGACATGTTCCTATTTCAATAGGTCGACTTAACCACTTCAACTGCTATTTTTCAACATTTTCATTTTGGATGAACAGGCTGTAAGAATCAACAACTGCTAAAGAATCACTTCTTAGTAGTGGCCATCAGAACCAGGAGGCAGCAAGACCTGCCAGCAGAATCCCTTTTCTTTGCAGAACAGCTATTCCCCTGTTCTCACACAGAATCTTGCCTGACATAACTGACAGGAAAGCATTTATTTGGTGCTGAGTTTTTAAGAAGAAAGCAGATTGCAGCAGGTTGGAAGGTACCTAAAATTGTTTTCCCAAATCAAGGAAGTGCTCTTAGTCACTATGAGTTTTCACATCAAAATTGGAATACATTTTCTCCTTATTTAGTACCCAAGACTTTTATTTTCATTTCTGTGCCTTCTACTGAGAGTTCCAATGCTATTTTTCTACACATTATGAAACAAGATACTCTAAATATCAAATTGGGGATTGTTTGCAGCTGCTATTCATAATTATCCTTACATTTATTGTTTCTAGTTCATGCTGTCATTAATATTATTGGTTTATTCTCATTTAAATTTACTCACAAAGCAGTTGTTGCTCTTGGGTACAGGGTGACCACCCACCTTTGCTCACACTCGGAGTGCAAGCACAAGACCAGCTACAAATCCTGCAAGGACAAGTCACCTGCAAACAAGGACAACATGTCAAGAGCCACAGCGACATCGTGCCGGTGCCTTCACTTCTGCTCTTGCTGTGGGTGACACACACACTTTGTTGTTCCAGAGGCAGAGCCTGGTGACCTGGGCATTGATTACTGGGTATTTTTTCACAGCTCTCACATAGCCAGAAACTTCTGTAAGCAACGTGAGGCAGGACACCTCAGCTGGCAGTGACCTCACTTCACCTGGGCAGAGTCACTTGATGCTTTAATTGTTACAACTCTGGCAAATTGTCTGGCAAACCAAAATAAGCTTATACAACCTAGGAATATGTTGCAACTTCTGTCTTTGACTGCCACCTTCTTCTCCTTTCTATTCACCTCAGTTACTCGGCCTGTGAGACTCTTATTGGATCTCTGATTTTCTTTTTTAGGTGTCACACCCCAAGGGTCTCAGCACTAATTTCAGCCTGGCTGGACAGGGTTTGTTGTACTCTGTGCATATCAGGAGGAAGGGAACACTGCCTCCTTTCCATATTGTAGTAGGTTTAGGGGTCTTGGTTCATTAGTTTAAAAATTATTACAGCCCACTGTGACAAACCAGTAAGGAAATCTGTAAGAAAACCCTGGTGGTGTCTCGGTGAAATCTGTGGTCAGTGAGCAGGGGAGGCTCCTTTTCTCAACTATTTCTATTCCAAGTGCACTTGAGCAATCCCCCCTGGCAGACACTGCATCCGGCCATCAGGCAGCCACCTGGGCTGGGACAGCTCTTGTACTTGGCTGGAATTTAACCATGTAGGCACACTGCTCTCTCTTCCTCTTTCATCCTGTGAAATCTCCTTGCTGATTGTTTCTTATGGTGGACTCAAACCAGGCCTAAGAATTAAGCAGCCCTCTCTGAGCCCAGACCAAGAGCCCACACAGCCCAGGCTCCAGTCCTGCAGGACAAGCAAAAGCAGGCACCACTTCAGGAGAGTACAGAAGCTGAGCCACTTGGAAAAGTCCCCCTGCTCACCTTGCCCTGGCACAGAGGACTGTGCTAAGGATGTCAGAGGATACTTTCCTCTTGGAGGAGACTGGGAGCTTCCTTTTGAGGAATCTCCTTTGCTACACAAAGGAATGTCAGAAAAATGGTTCAGCTGCTCAGACTGGAGGTCCCTTAATTCTCTTTCTCTCTTGCTGCCCCCGAGAGTGGTCACTTAAACCAGCTGGGTTGGTTGCTCAGGGCACACCAGGAATTTTTCCCCAGTGGCAACCTCGCCAACATCCTGGGCAACCAGCTAAGCCCAAGGCATCCTGAAGAAAATGTGCAGCCTGCAAGAATGAAGGTCACAGGGGATTTACTTGGGAGCTCCTTGATGTATTTTCCCACTTCCCTCTAGTTCACACTAACCGTGAATCAGGCTGGAGAAGGGGCTTTCCAAGGTACAGAACAAAACATTAAAAATAAAACAGGAAGCAACACGAAAAGATCCAGGGAGTTTGAAGTCCCTTTGTTACTTTATCAGCAAAAGACTCCCTCCTACCAAAACCACATGAACATCTCATTTTCTGAAGGTCAGAGACTGGCATACATGACAATCTCCAGTCTCTTGTAGTACAGCCTAACACATTAGCATAAGCTGTACAGATCTTAAAAGAGTATCCAAGGGGAAATTCAGTACAAGAGATGTGATGATTTCTCACTAACAAAAGACTCAGGCTTTAAAACCAGGTTTGAGTAAATTGTACCTAGAGAGTGGTAAGCAGTTTAGTGCAGGATCATTCTTATCCATGTTATGCACCTGAACTCAGAGAAACCCTCAAGCAGAAGAGATTTAGCAATCCCAAAAGCCAGCCATTATGGAATCCCCCCAAAAAAACAACCCAAAAACCACTTCAGCACTAACTCCTTTGCAGTACAACGCTCTTAACTGCACTACAAGTTACATTTGAACATCTAGGGAGGATGAACATCACCACCTGCAAATGCTCCTTTCTCAAAGGTCACAAAAAATTTCCTTCCTCTGGTTCAATCTCCTTCCCTTACACCAGGTCACCTTATTGCCACAGCAAGGAAGAGAGAAAATGATACCTTTGTCTTTTATTGGACTTGGAAGGAAAAGTAAACAACAACACTGTCTCATTCCTTGGCAGGAGCTGCTTTGTGTACACACCCCTGACACCTCCCAGTAGAGGAGACTGGGGTGCCCATCAAACCTGCCTCAGGCTGCTGCTGTTTGGGCAAGGCAGGCTCCAGGCAGGGCCCAGGGGACACAGAACAGCCAAGTCACAGAAAGCTGTGGGGAGGAAATGCCTGAACAATGTGCACAAGGAAGGACACACTGTGCACCTGCCATACTGCACTTCACAGCAGTGGAGCTGGCACTGCTCCTCCTGCTCTGGGACAGGAGTAACAGCACCTGTGGGAGTGACCCCTGTGTGAGGAGAGACAGCCTCGCCTGTGCCAGCACAGGCAGTTTGGGAAAGGGTCAACATTTTGGACAAAGCCTCTTTTAAACACCAGAGCAGCTTCTTCAATTAACCAACAATACTGGGGACATTTTTTTTGAGGCTGAAGTCCACTGTAGATTAACATAAGAGTGGTTGGCCAGGTGCTGTAAGCTTACCTTGATAAACTGCAGGGAGTATGAGACAGAGCAGAGTGTCAGAGGGAGAGAGATCATCTATTTACAGAGACAATTTAATTACCTTTATTAGCAATTATCATCATCCTCAATTTGTACACAGCAGCTGAATGCAGAGGCCTTAATCAGGTCAAAACTGTGCTGCACCCAGACTTTGAGCAGTATGTTAGAGCCTGACAAAAGGACACACAGAACGTGTCAGGGCACGTGAGGACAGGAAAAAGCAGAAGGGGATGAAATAGGAGGTTGTTTTAGCCCAAAGTGGCTGCCAGTCAGAAAAAGCAAGTTCCTTTCCTGCCTTCCAGAGCATGGCTGCAGAGATCAACATTTGGCCATAGACACAGAAGTCAAAGGTAACAGATGCTCATCATTACTTATATGCCATCCTCCAGTCACAGTAATCTCCAGGAATGCTGCCTGACCTGAATGCTGGCTCCCCTAGAAAGCCAGTGGTTACTTCACCTCGCTCAGGGATAAAAGCCTTGTTGCCTGGATTCCATGCCCAAGGTCAAGGCTGGTTCCCCAGGGAACAGATGGTCTACATCACTTCAACCATGGTGACTGTGTATTCCATGCTTCACACACACTGAAAAATTGCATCACTTTGCATGGTGGGGTGAGGCTACAGCAGCCCACAGATTGCTTGGTTAGGACCTAAATGGCAGGGGTTTGCCCCCCTCACATGGTGGCATGAGGGAGGAGTAAGCAGCTCTGCTTCCCTCCCATCCTGCTGCTATTCATCCTTGACAGTCAAAGACTGGGGATTAAAAAACCTCTTCCCTTGCCCTCCTCTCCTCTTTTCCCTTAGCTCGTCTAAATGAGGAAAACATGGGAGTAGTGAGAATGGCTGCAAATTTTGCAAAGGGTTTGATGGCCTCCCATGTGTGAAAGCAGGAGGGAAAATGAAATGAGCTTTCAGTGGCCACTTGTACTTCCTCCAAAGTTCATGGCAGGGCAGCAGGAGGCAGACATGAGGTAATCCCTCTGTTAGCAAACTGTTTTCAAGTTGACAACACTCCCTGGCTCAGTGTCAAATGACCTCAGCTGCCATTAAGGTGCACCTGTATCCCCTGGGCACACGGATAAAGGGGGGACTGTTTACCAGCAACCTCACTCAGTGCTCCTGCCAAAACTTGTGAGGCCTGGGAATGCAGCAGCTCCATTATCTGTGCCCGTGTGTTCCGGCTTCATAAAAGAGTTTGGCGAAACAAACACTTGAAGAAAAATACCAAGATCAGTGTTTACAGAGCCATTGTGCTGTCTACTCTCTTATGTGGATCTGAATCATGGGTCATCTACCGCCACCACCTGTGACTCCTCGAACGCTTCCATCAACGCTGTCTCCGCACAATCCTAAACATCCACTGGTCAGATGATGTGACCAATCCATCTGTTCTGGAACAAGCAGCAGTCACAAGTATTGAGGCCATGTTGCTGAGAACACAGTTGTGCTGGGCAGGGCACGCCTCTAGGATGAAGGACCAACCACCCCCTCCCTAAGATCCTGCTTTATGGTGAACTTGCCACCGGCTGCCACAAGAGAGGAGCCTCGAAGAGAAGATACAAGGACTGCCTGAAACAACATCTCAGCCTTGGCCATATTGATCAACACAACTGGTCTACTCCGGCCTCCAATCAGGAGGCCTGGAGACACACCATCTATAACGCTGCTGATGCCTTTGAGAACGCACACAGGATCACCCTTGAGAAGACAACACAGAAAGAATCGTGCCCTGCAGAATTTACCACCTAAGGAGTCTTTCTGCTGTGCCTTTTGCAACCGGACATGCCTGTCTCGTATTGGCCTTTTTAGCCACCACCGTGCTTGTAACAAACGTGGGTAGAGCCCTCCCCCAATCTTCATTTGCAAGCCCAGCCATGATGATGATGATGATGATGATGATGATGATGTGTTCCAGCAGCTTCTGCAGTGCTTCCCAGTGTCTGCTGCCCTCCCCCATCCCTGGAGGGCAGTGCCCTTACTCACAGCTCCAGGATGAGGACCACATCCGTCTTGTTCTCGTAGATGTCATGCAGTTTGACGATGTTGGGGTGCAGGACCTGCTGCAGGATGGTGACCTCCCTCTGGATCTCCTCCCGGCTCACCCCGCGCCGGCTCGCCCGGCTCTGCCGCTTCTTGATGAACTTGGCGGCGTATTCCACACCCGTGCTCCTCTCCTGACACTTCTTCACTATGGCAAACTGGCCGCTGCAGGGGCAAGAAGGTGACAAAAAGGCTTTCAGATAATCACAGCTTCCCAAATAAGCTTGGCCCTGCAAGGCCTGAGCAGCACTGCTGAGCTTGTTCTGGTCCAACAGAGAGGACTGTTGGAATTCTGACTTAAAGGCAGTGGAGCATAAGGCAGCCTCCCACTGTGTCTGAAATTTAGCAAAGCCAAACAACATCTGGCAAAAGGGAGGGCAGATGTTACAACCTCTAAAAACCAGAATCAGATCTGCCCCAAAAGGTTCAAGCCACCTCTCCTTCACTGGGCAGTGTTTAAGACCTTCAAGTCTGCAGCGCACCACTGGATGTTCTGAAAGGACATGCATGCATTCAAATATCTGCCTTAGGAATAATCTCTAGAGAAGCACTCAAAGGATTGATAACCCTCTGGAAATGTAGAAACTGGCCTCCAGTAACCAGTTTTCAAATAAAAGAATGGTTCATTCAATATTTCTGCACTTCACTTGATAATTTAGGTGTAAATGTAACTAGAGTAAGAGCAGTATCTCAGTGCACCTCAAGGACAGAGCATTTCCCACTGTACCAAACAGTACAGGGGCTGCACTAAGGTTAAAGGGCATGTACCTACAGTTTGGTAACAACATTTTCTTCACTGTGGCTCCTAAAGCAGTGCCACTGCAAAATTTCCCCCTTATCTCCTAAGGACTGGCAGATCTCCAGTCCCAGAATACACATTTAGTATCAGATACTTCCTCACTCAGGTCATTATGTCCAGACTTGCAAGGAAAAGACTGATCCTACAGGTAACCTTAACCTTTAGCTGCTGTGATTTCACCAGACAGGATCTCTTGATAAGAATGGCAAACAAACTCATGAAGTGCACCCACCCCCCCTGACTCCACAGGAGAAGCACTGAGCTGTTCCTGTTTTCAATATTATTGTATCCTCCACTGGCTTGGTAAATGAGAGATGTATTATATGCTGTACTTCGTGCTTCATCAGCACAGACATCTGATTGGAGTCTGTCCTCAAACTACAAAGGCAGAGAAATTAAAAATGAAGGCTGTCACTTGGTGCTCAACTGCTCTCAAGAGCCAACACTCCACGGCAGAGGCAGCCCCTCTTTTCAAAGGATTCAAATAAAAGCCAGCCAGCCTGAAGTACTTCTCTGGGGTTTTCATTTTAATACGGGTCCTGAACACTTCTGAGGAGAGAGGCACGAACAGATGGGACAAGGGTCCTTATCCCTTTAGGACAAATCATTCACAAATGGAACAGAGACTGTGGCCATTTGTCGAATGCATTAATTGATTCACATTTCTCCTGATTTTCCCATTACCTGCAAACCCTAGAGAAATTCCTTCTACAAAATCCCCAAACTTGCCTTAAACATTTTGCTGGAAGAGTTGCTGTGCTGTGCTGAGAGCTGTTGGTGTATAATACGGGTTTCACGGTTTTTTTGCTTGTCTGACCATATTTTGCAAGACGTGCATCTTGCTCGGTCCAGACTTCCTAAAGAGACACGGCACTAATATTTCTGTGTTTGCTTCCTTGAATTCTCTCTGGGGATATAAATTCTGTCAGCAAAGTCAGGGAGAAAAGACTTTTTTTACGAGTGCTGATCATGGGAACAACCACGGTCACCTTTGCATAGGGATACTGCAGATTTTGTATATTTTTGTTTACACAAAAACTCACGACAAATAATAATGGCACAGCGTAGGAATTCCTGTCTTCTCCTTTCACACAGTTATAGTCTGGGACAATTATTTATCACAATACCCATTCCCCTGTGACCTGCTATTGCTCCCCTGCATGTGTATCCACCAACACACACACTCCTGCTCCTATCCCAGTTTTCATGCTATTTCCTGTAGCTCTGGAAAACAGGCTTTTGCAGGCAGTCTTTACTGAGCCAGTTTGTGACTGAGTAGAGGTTGAAGCCACGGGGAATAATATAAATGCACAATTCCCTAGCCCAGGACATTAAAGACAGAGTGCAATTACCAATGGATAGTTCATGTGGAGGCCTGCACAGCCAGGAAAAAAGAGGATTTTACAATCACAGTCAGACACACTTTGGATTTCGTGTTGATCACAGAGCTTGTAAGGTCAAGCACCAAGACCACAGCATTTCTGCACCTCCTCATGCCTCAGCGTTCAGCACATAAGAATCAAGTGGTGTCAGCTCCCCAAAACTTCCAACCTAGCCCAGGAAAAAAGCAGAAGAAAGGGAAGTATGTCCCCCAGGCACCTGAGTTTACAGCACTGAGAAATGAAGCCATTCAGTTCATTTCACAGGGGGCATTTGTGCCTGAGCTTAACCTTGAAACTACATTTCACAGCTCGGATGGCCAACCTTCAGCAAAAGATCTTGCCAGAATTCCTGGGCTTAGTATATGGCTGAAATGAGGATGACTTGGGTCATGAGCAGCTGTATTTACAACACACACAGGATAAGCCCAGAGGGTGACACTTCTGCATGTGTCTACCTGGAGCTCAGAATGTCTCCCAGCATTTTCCTGGAGAAATTGGCTGCACACGCCTTGGACACTGATCTTAAGAGATCTTTTCCAACCTTAATGATACTATGATTCCTAATTTCTTTTTTTTTTTTCCCAGGTAGTTAAGTCTGCTCCCTTTCAGAAATGTTTTGGACAGCTGTACAACAGCCTGTCACACACTCAGCACAGGCTGTGCTCAACTGTGGTAACAGCTCAAGACTATGAACAACAGCAGCTGCATCCTGTCACTTGTAATATAATTAGGTACAACATCAAATCTGTCCACCATTAATGATGGAATTCATCCCAGAAATAAAGACAACCTATAATTTGCATTGCTACTGTCATCTGGGAGATTTGTCACTGAGAAAAGAGAGGCAGTAATTTGTCACTAATAAGAACACAGAGGCAATGTTACTGGGTGGGTTTGGAGTCTAATTTCAGAAACTGTAGAGGAGCACAAGGTCAGCTCATTTAATCACAGGATTCAGGAGAGGATGTGGAAAGGATGTGGGAAGAGAGAAACTGGACAATCCAGAACAATGGGATAAGTTCTTGCTCTTTTTTCGAGGCCTACTTTTAACACAGGTTGTGGAGGGTAATGCTCTGGGGCAGAACCTTACATGGCAGAGAGGGAGCAGAGCAGCTCCAGGTTGGAATGTCCTGATCATATTCATCTTCATTTAATTTGCTAAAGAATTCTAAAAAAGATGAGTTTTTTTACTGTTATTGTTATTTTGGTAGTTGTTAAAGCTTGAAATTCCCATAAAAGAGATGATACTTTTGAACACGCTGACAGATACACTTTACTCTGAAATATGTTTTCAACAAGTTCTTTGAAAAATAACTGAACCTGGCAGAGGACAGTGCTCTGGCATTCTGCCACTCAAGAAGTGACACTCAACTCCCTCCATGAGCCAGGACAATTTATTTAGGAATAGATTTGCAAGGGATTTTAGGCACCAGCCTCCCACTGACTTTCACAGTAATTAGGTTCCTGCACACTCGATGGAAAACAACACCTCAGTCCTTCTGTACTTCACTTCCCAAAGCCTGTAAAAGGCAGGTAATGCTGCTCAAAAATCAAATACATTATATGGGCTGAGCATACGAGCTGGACCTACAAACTGATTTCATGTCTCTAGATAGCACTATAATTGCAATTACAATCATTCCTATTTTTATTCACAAGCTGTTCTCAACCACTTTAACTGCCCAGATTCACCTGCAGACTGCTGTGAAAGTTGGAAAGGTACAATCACAGCCCACTGCACAGAGTAAGACACCAAGACTTTTTCTACAGTTTTTTTTTACTTGAATGGTGCCATAAATACCTATTACTCTTCTCTGATGTTGGTTTTTACCTACAGCAGGTGTGGGGAGACATTCAGTGGTGGGAATGCAAGCCTGAAAGGGTTTATTTGCTGTTACAAACCCCATCCCAAACAAAGACAAAGGATGTCATTCACATATGTGGTTGCCTGTGCTTAGAGCATTAATTTAAGGTTTACTAGACTTTGCAAAGTCTGCCAGTCATTTGGTCTCCTTCCCTAACTGGATGATAAATTGTGTCTGATACCTTGACAGCAATAAATTAAAAAGACACTCTCTCCAGTGTCAGATACTCTCTGAGCTCTGAGTCAACACCGTATCTTGAACTCTGAAAACAATTTTCTTTATGTTTACTGACACAGCAATCAGTTACTTTACAGTCTATGACACAAGCCAAGTCAGAGTCACCTTCTGTTGTCCTTTCTCCGGGAAATGAGCTTCCAGCACCCTTTGCTTTAATTTTGCACAATCTACAGTTAGAGACCCGTAAAAATTCTAAAAATATGTTACAAAACCATCATGTGTACATTCTTCAGTTAATAGACACGAACAGAATCACAACAATACTGTTTAGCCAGTCTGAACACAGGGCTTCTCTAGATTCAAGAGGCTGCTTTATTTAGTTTCAGCAAAGAAGGGTAATTCCTTCTCAGTAACAACAGCTGTTTTTATGTCAACAGTTTTGTTCATCGTGCCTTTCTGCCACTATTAAAGTGGGATTGGTCATCTCAAGCTTAGAAAGCCTGCATCTTGTTGCTTTTCAATCTTTTTCATTCCTGTTTCTTTTTCTTGGAAAAAAAACACACAAATAAATTTATCCATTTATGGTCGTCTTTTTGTTAACTTCCAAAGCAAAGCCCCTGAGAATTCTTGCTGAAGGCCTTCCTTGAATTTGAGAGGATAACAGCTTTTTCAGGCTTGATCTGTTCAAAATGATTGGAATTTTATTAAGCTAAATGCTCTCCTCCCTCTTTGCTTACACTTTCCAAGGAGACTTCTGCTGGTTGTGACTGCACTGCCAGGCTCTTCCCAGCAGAGAGGACAGGGGTCTGCTGGTAACAACTTAATTTCTTATGCTCTCAGCTCATTTATGAAGCACAGCTCAACCAAAGGCCACGCAAGGTTCACAAAACATGTGCACAAAAGCTTTTGCTGAAGGGTTTTTGGAGGAAGTTTGTGGTCACG